CCGTTAAGGGGCTCTGGGGTGCCCTGGTCAATTAGACCCTCTCAAGACAAGGCCTGGCCTGTTAAACTAGGAAACACATCTGTAACAGACCTTTGTCTAGTTCCTGTCTCAGCTCTGTCTGGGCCAAGTTCTGACAAATACCAGTTGTGTGCAGGGGGCATCTTTCCTTACCGTCTAGACATGCGGATGCCCGTTTATGTCTTCCTTGCCTCAGCTTCCCTCCAAAGAGGACGGGCGGTTCAGCTTTCTCCTTGGGCTCCCTCTTTACTGAAGTACTTGGCTAAAGGAAGCTCTTTTGTGATGTAATGAGTAGGTAGACGTCTGAAACAGATTTTTCTCCCTAGCTCCCAATGAATGCATTGGCCAAACATATTTTTTTTTAAATCTCATTTTTATTCAAAGTGGTAAACCCAAGCCTCTCTTAGGGATAGATACACACAACACTATCAATGATTTAAACACTGCACTAATCTTTTAGGAACAGTGTTAAATTTGAATTGATAAACACTTACACAATAGAACCAATTTAACCTGATACAAAGTAGCTTAGTTCTAATCAAGAACACATGAAAGGAAGTAATATTAAAAAAAAATCCAGGCACAACTTCTTTTTTAAAAATAATATTTTATTAATTCTTTAATAATTTCATGCAGCCTATTTTGATCTAATTCATGCCTATCTTCCTAGTCACCCAGATCATCCCTACCTTCTTACATGTCTTAGTAACTTACTACTTAGTTATTACTGTGATTAAAAACACCACGACCAAGACAACTTGAAGAAGAAGAAAGCGTTTATTGGGGACTTAAAATTTCAAAGACTGAGTCCATGACCATCATAGTGGGGAGCTTGGCAGCAGGCAGGCAGGTATGGTACTGAAGTGCTAAAATAGTAGCTGAGCACTTACATCTGATCCAGAAGCAGGAGCCTGTAATTGTAAGGTTTCTCCAGTCCACCCAGCCTGCAGTCCCACAGCCACTTATAAAATAATCACTCAGAGGCTTTATGAAATAATTATTATAAAATAATCACACAAAGTGTATGATCTATGGCAGGCTTCTTTTTAGTTAGTTCTTATATCTTAAATCAACCCATTTCTATTAATCTATGTTTTGCCACATGTTCCGTGGCTTTACCTGCGTCCCATTACATGCTGCTTCTTAGGTGACTGGCTTGCGTTTCACAAGACTCTGCCTTTCTCTTTCCTGTCTCTCTCCTTTGCTGCCTGCATCTAAGCTGCCTTGCCATAGGCCAAAGCAGCTTGTTTATTAATCAGTGGGAACAACATATATTCACAGCATACAGGGAGACAGCCTCCAGCAGGAGGGAGAGAGAGAGAGAGAGAGAGAGACAGAGACAGAGACAGAGACAAAAAACTGGGAACAGAATGACTTGGGCTTTTGGAACCTCAAATCTCACCCACTGTGACACATCATCTCCAACAAGCCACACCTCCTAATCTTTTGTTAGTAGTTACACCAGCCGGGGACCAGGCTTTGGCTTTCAAATATATGAGCCTATGGGGGCTGGTTTCATTCCAACTTCCTTCCCATCTTCCGTGTGTGTGTGTGTGTGTGTGTGTGTGTGTGTGTGTGTGTGTGTGTGTGTTGGCCTATTGAATCTATTTTATGTTGTCCAACTACTCCTCAGGGTGTGGCTCACCTTAGGTTGTGGTCAATACATCAGGTATCGTACCATTAAAGAAAACTGACTTTCCTTCTCCCAGCACCAACAAAATGCCAATACCTCCTCTGCTAGGGATGGAACTTTGTACCCACTCCTCCTCCTCTATGCTCCAAACACAACTTTTATTGTTATCAATATTCCCAACTATCATGTTATAAAGCAATGCACAGAAGGCTAGGCTTGTTTGGGTAAATTCAGCTCAGGGAAACCTTTCCTTGGGTGCGCCTGTATAAGTTACTTTTTATCACTGTGACAAAACACCTGGTGAAAAGAATTTACAGTAGAAAGGATTAACACTGGCTCACAGTCTGAAGATACAGTCCATCACCATGGGGAAGGCACTGTAGTAGAATCAGCTGTGGTGCTGGAAATATGAGGTCACAATGGATCTACAGTCAGCAAATGAAGACAGAGGAACACTGGTGCTGGACTAACTTTGCCTCATTGTATTCAGTCTGGGATTCTAGCTCATGAATAATGCCACACCCATCTAGGGTATATTTTTTTCCTCCTCAATTAAAACTTTCTGAAAAAACTACCATAGACAAGTGTATTGATTAGTTTCATAGGTGACTGTAATATCTAGTCAAGTGGATAATTACTATTAAATACCAAAATTCCACCCCTTCTCTATTTGGCACCCAAGCATATCATTTTAAACCATAGCATCCATAGACTCATGGCCATCATATATTGTGGAATGTATCCAGTTCATTTTCAGGAGTCCCCACAATTTTAACAGTTTCAAAATTGTTCAGATTCCCAGAGTCCAAATTCCCTTATGTGATTCAGTAAAATCTCATAACAGTGAACCCCCAAATAACAATAAAATGTTCGGGTTACAGCCTTTCAATATATGCAAGAATAAATAATCTCATTCCTAAAGTGGAGAATGGGGATACATCAAAGAGAGATCAGGACAGAACAAGACCAGATGTTAGCAGAGCGAATAACGAATTCTGAAGTTTCATGTATGGTATCTTGGGGTCATTATGGCATCATCTGGGTTCAGTAGACTTGTGTAGTCCCACCTTTCCAGGTCTGCTATCTGCAACACAAGTGGCCTCTCTCTTGGGGCAGCTCCAGTTTATACTTACCACTGCCCATGGCCATCATAAGCTCCATCTTCACAGTTTCATATAGTAGCCTGTTGGGGGTCTCATTATAGGGAATCTTATCCCACTACACATTGCATAGCCTCAGGGACTTTCTAGAACACTGATGAAAACCTCAGGACCCTTTAACATTTACATTTTGCATGCATGCCAAACCAGTACTGTTGGGAGATTTTTGCTGGCTGGTAGAGGTTGCAGTCTGCCATAGCCTAGCAGCTTTCTCTCTAGGCTCGGCAATGTGGAAACTCCCTTCCCCCAGCAAAGCTTCCTGCTCTTTACCTAGCCTTATCTGGAGGATGTCCCTGGGCCTGGAGGACTGACCTTGTCTGAAAGCTGTCTCTAAACCAGATGCCTGATTTATCTTCAGCTTGAACCCTGACATAGATCCCTGCTACAAGGCTCTCTTGCTGCAGCTACTCAGAGCTTTAGGATAGGAGCGTGCCTCTTAATGAAAATTGGGTGATGCTCCGCCACTGACCCCAACCTTTAATTCACTTTCTTCCCAGGGAGTTATCTCTGCCAACTAACAAGCCTAGGGCCCCTGATCGCTCACTTCCCCTCCCTCACCTCTCACAGGACAGTGGGGATGATCCTGAGGGAAAAGCTTGGAGCAAACCACACAGTGTCCTGTCGATGACATTTCCAAGTCCTGCTGTGAACCTGGGTTGTACTCTGATCCCTTTCTACCAAGGCTATATTTGGTCTTTCTCTGCCTTGCTGGCAGAACATGGAAGAATACTCCGTAGTGGTTTGTTTTTTTAGCAAGGAGCATGTTAAATGTTATTCTCAATTCAGGTACTCTAATTTCAAATGAATTTGCATTTTGACATATTAGAACATTTGGTATGTGTGGACTTTCCATCAGGATACCTTTCCTAGTGAGAAGTACTAAGTTGACTTTGTGTGTGTGTGTGTGTGTGTGTGTGTGTGTGTGTGTCTGGTGCAAGCATTTGAGTGTAGATGTGCACACCTTCAGAGTTCAAAGCAGAAATTCAGGGGTGCTCCTGTTAATCCACTTTACTCTCTTGAGACAGAGGCTCTCATTGAAACTAAACTTTATTGTTCCGAGGGTGAGTGTCCAGCAAGCTCTCAGTATCTGTTTGTTATTGGTGGTATCTGTTTGTTATTGGTATCCAATACTGGGGTTAAAACCACATACAGCAATGGCCAGACTGTTACCTGTAGATGTAATTCTGAATGGTTTTATTAAATAAGAAGCACAGAGCCAAAAGCAGAGTTAAAAGCCCCTGAGGTCAGAAAGCAGTAGCTAAAAGCTGAGACCAAGACTGCCTTCTTACAAGTGGCTGCCGCTGCTGTCCTTCCCCTGAGAAAGAGACCTACTTCCTGTGTATCTGTCTTTTTATTGACTTTCTGTTCTGCCTTCTCATTGGTTGTAAACCCAACCACCTGACCTCCTCATCACTGCCTGTCTATACAGACCTCCAGGTCTCTATGGTTGGTATTAAGATTAAAGGCATGTGTCTCCATGCTGGTGGTATCCTTGAACACACAGAGATCTGCCTGTCATGTGATCGTGAATAAGGGGGTGTGCTACCACTGCCAGACTTCTACTAAATGGCTTGCTATTAGCTCTGACACCCAGGTACTTTTATTTATTAACATACAAATAAAATCACATTTCAGCACAAATAAAATATCACCATAGTTACCCATGTTTTGGGGATTTGAGCTCAGGCCTTCATACTTACAAAGCAAGTTCTTATAATATAATTATAACAATTCCTTTCCCTTTCCTCCTTCCAAACAAATTCATAATGATAAATTTTTCTTCTAATTTTTTCTTTTATTGAAAATAGATTTTTCATATAATATATCCTGATTATAGTTTCCTCTCCTTCTACACCTCCAAGTTGTTCCCCAAATCCCCTCCCATCCTCCTGTGTGGATCACCCCTTTCCATCTCAGAATAATTCAAATTGGCTTCCCAAGGAGAGTAATGAGTATAATATGTAATAAGGTAAAACAAAAGCCAGCACAGCATGATATGACAACACAGAAGGAGAAGAGCCCATGAAAAAGCCCAAGAAACAGATGGAGAGCGGAGAACCATTGGTTCACACACTCAGGAATCCTGTAAAAAACAAAACCAGAAGCCATAATATATACTCAAAGGTCATGCAGGTAGGAGAGAGAGAGAGAGAGAGAGAGAGAGAGAGAGAGAGAGAGAGAGAGAGAGAGAGAATATGGAACACTGCATGAATTTAAACGTCATTCTTTCTTGGGGCCATGCTAATCTCTGTATCATTTCAATTTTATTATATGTGCTGGCGAAGTGAGCACTTCACTGCCTATTTTGAATCTCCAAGAAAGTATCTCTGTAGTTAAGTCTTATGTTGTTATAAACCTTTGAATATTCTACATATTTGAAGAAATCCTTCTTTAAGTTTTACTAGTATGGGGTTGAAACTGTTCTGCTGGAAGGATCTACAGAAAAGGCAATTATATTGCCAGGCTCCTAAGCATATTAAAGATTCTACTTAAGAGAGGCCCATGGCTACTTTGATTTTACAAATTTCACTAGGTAATAATTTCCCTGCCATCAGCGTTAATGAAAATTCAGGAAATGTCAGACTTCAGAGAATATAAAATCTTACAGAAGAACATTTTATAAAAGTCCAGGAAACATCCCAAGTGACACATCAGCCTTTCTTTATACACATGGCAGAGAGTGCCGGAAAGCAAGGAATGAGAGAAAAACTGGATTTGAATTTTTTCTAGAGGTGTATTTTAATCCTCCAATGCTCAGACATGGGCCAATTTAATTAATTAACCAATGCTTTTCACATGTTCTGTAAGAATGCCATGTGTGCTAGACCTCATACACGATGCCATAACGGGAAAGGAGAATGGAAAGTGTGGACAGGAAGCAAAGGTGAAACTTGCCAACTTCTTCATCCACAGTGCTGTGGGTGTCCATCCAAGAGCTTGCCACAGCCCCATTCCAGAAGGTGCTGAGCACTCTTTAGGGAACTGAAGTCTCGGTGTATGATTCAATAAGACTAACATCTATGAAGGTGGTTGGAATGGTAAGTTAAAATATTACCTTCAGAACTGAGAAAAGGAGATACCTGGACGATATACATCAAATCCCCATCTTTAAGAAATGCAAGTCTCTCTTAGCTACTGAGAGAACTTTTCTTTTTTCTGTTCATCAGTTTTGATAATTTTTTGGGATCATATTGGAAAAAAAAACACATATTTTTCATGATACTTCTGTGTCACCAGAACCATAGTGTGCCTTCAAAGAGATAATGCAAATTCTGGATAGCACGTAGGTTGAAGGAGTTAAAAGGAAAAGGTCTTTGCATGGTTCATCTGCTGGAAGTCTGTACAATCATTCCTGTCATTGCTAGATCCCATAACATGGCAAGAAATTTATATTCCATGACCTGTGGCTCTGAACAATGAGCTGGGTGGATACCACTTTCTCTTCCAGTTTTCAAATTATCTTCAAAAATCCAGGCTCCAAATAAATAGACTGTGAATCACAGCCATGGAAGGCTCCTCTCTGGGGGCACCCTGCCTTTCTTCACTAAGAAGTCATGGTTGTGTCAACTAAATATAAAAATAGATCTTTTTAAAGTTCATTTCCTGCATATTTTTGTGATCCAAACTAGTTTTTGCTGCCTTTTCTGTCATCATAAAACCCCTCATTGCCCCAGTATGTACATTAAAATGTATAGTCAGATTAAACATGTAAATATATAGTCTGCAAGCAAATAAGGAGTGCAATACCCCAAGTGTGGGTTTTAAAAGTTGTTTTAAAATATACATTTCTGGGATAGGCTTAAATGTAAAGAGCTGCCTGACTGTGGGTTCAAATAGGGAAAAAATTGAAGGGTTGGGCAAAATGTATTAAGGCAGATGGTTTGAAAAAAAGTTAAATCACAGCTAAAAAGCATCCAAGGAAGGTAGTTCTTGAATGTCTACCCTCAAGTCCAAGAGAGGAGATCTCTAGGGGTTTTCTGGAGAGAAGAAATGTGATTACAGCATTTTCCTGGCCCAAAAGCCTGGCCAAGAGGAAGTGAAGAGAACCCAGCCACAGGCCAAATCTCAGGCTCCAGTTCTGGCAATCCAGATGGCTTGCCAGAACATCCTACACACCGGACAAGGGTGCTGAAGCCAGGACTACCCACCTTCTCAGGCTTCCAAAGACAGGAACCTCAAGGGGTACTTGATTTATGTGGAACAACTCGTTTGCCCAGATGCATTTAAAATGAAAACCTTTTCCCATGCTCTCACCTGGGATTGAGGATCATGGAAAACAGGAGTGGAAGAAGCAGATTAAATTGCTCCTTAACAAGTACATCAGGACAACTGGAAATGAGCCTAAGCTCCAGATGACAATGATAGCCAACAGCTATTGAGCACTTACTGTTTGCTCCATGGTGTAGTTTTCCATATAAAATCACTTTTAAAGCCTTACAATTCTTATAATGCAAACACCATTACTTTACTGGGTTTTATAGGTAAGGAAGCCTGATTTTTAGGTAGTTAACTAAATAATTAACATGCTGTAAATATGAAAGAAAGAGGTGGTAAATGAGAGACACAAAACTTAAACCTAGCCGGGCGGTGGTGGCGCACACCTTTAATCCCAGCACTCTGGAGGCAGAGGCAGGCGGATCTCTGTGGAGTTTGAGGCCAGCCTGGTCTCCAATGCAAGTTCCAGGAAAGGCGCAAAGCTACACAGAGAAACCCTGTCTCGAATACAAAACAAACAAACAAACAAAACCTTAAACCTAGTCTGCCCTTATTTACAACTAAGTTTTTTTCCCCCATTGATATGTTTCTTTATTTTACTATTTTATTATTGTTGTTTATTCTGTTGTTATTGATACAGGGTTTTACAAATGCCAGGCTGACTACAAGTTTATTTTGTAGCTGAGGATGACCAGAAACATCCAGCTCTGTCTGCTGCGCTTACTTCCAGAGTTCTGGAATTATAGTCATTTCCCACCATGCTTAGTTTATGCTTGACTGGGGATTGATAACCAACAACTCTATCAACTGAACAGACTAAATTCTTAACAAATTAGGGGGTTGGATGAATCAGTTACTATATTCAGGTAATTGTGAAGGAATAGATGCACTTAATATACATATAGTTTGTATGTGTCTCTCTTTATTCATTAATACCACGAGCAAAGGATGCCAAAGACAATAACTTGGCTGTAGCACAGTGAGAGTAGAGGGATGCAAGGCACATTTACACATTACACACAGACTCTAAAAACTGGAAGTTCCGTGAAATTCCCACTTCCTTATCAACTGTTACTGCTCTCATGAAGAATTAAAAGTAAGGATTTAAAATCGAGTGATTCTAATATATATTTGTTGTGATACTGTTGTGTGCATTCACATTCTCTTTTAATACACTTCTCAATTCAGTGGTTAGCATAAAATATACATTCAACAAATATATTTAAAATAATGAGGTAGGTAGTATTTCTCCCATTTACAGATGTGACAACCAACTCTTAGAGAAAACTTCCCAAAGACCGCAAGACCTCATATAGGAATCAAATTTAGTTTTTCTAACTTCAAAACCCATACATTTGGTAAAATATCAAAAGCCACAAATTACAAAATCATGTTGTTATAGAAATAAATAAAGTGAGTTGAAAGGGAATTACTCTTAGGGCAGGTCTTAAATAATGAGTAAAACCTATCACAGAACAAGAATTGATTGTATGTGGGAATGTGGAAGCTTATAGAGGAAAATATTGCTGGTCAGTGCCTCCAAATTTGTTGATATTGAGGTGTGCATATCTTTTACAGCAATGTTTAAGGGAGAGGTAAGGCTCAGCTGGAGACTAAGCTCCTGTGTTCTCTGTCTATGCTTTTTCCATATGTTAACTTTTGCTCATTCTGCACACATTTACCAAATGGGAAGATTACTTCTGTAGTAAGCAGTGTACAACATATAGATTGTAGGATTCACATGCCACACATTCAAGTATCCATAATACCTTGGTCATACATACATCCTTCCACACAAAGGGAATTAACTAAGCCAACTTAATCAAATTCAAGCACCAAGTTTCTCCAAGAGAATGGACATGCCTTGGAGTAAACTTTTCTGTTCCTCTGTTCTTTGACCTTAACAGCAGGTTTCAGTCACAGATTTAGAAACTGACTATGAACAGTAGAATAGAAAGTTAAAGATAGTAACTCAGAGAATTTCAGAAAAATGACTGCCATTCTGCACACATTATGTTCCTTCCCTAGGCATTTTCCTACCCCGAGACACTAAGGAACTCCAAAACTGTGCTTAGACATTAAAGAGCTTGGTCGCGGTTTGGGGACTCCCACAGTGCTCGGAAGAGAGGACAATGTGCAGCTATCTCAAATGAAAATCAGCCTGTGCATCCAAACAGAGCAAGGGGCCAGGAAAGGGAAACCCAGGTGTGTCCCAGGCTTGGCTGCAGTACTTGTGGCCAGAGGCATGTTCTTCAAAGCTTGGTTCAGCATATGCAAGGTTATGCATGTGCAAATATGCATGCAATATCTTCAAGGAGTTCTTCATAGCCTCATGGACTCATTCTTCTTGGACTTTGGTGCCTTCCTCCTGTGTTATCTATGCAGAAAGCTTCACTGAATCCCTGATTTTATAAATTAACTTTTTAAACAGCAGCTATAGTGTCCCAACTGCTTCTTACAATATAAGCAGACATGTGAAAAAAACAAACCAAACAAAGAAGAAAAATAAAACTGCATTCCATTAAAGCACTTACACTTTGGTAAACTGTGATCCCCACAAATGCTGTATCACAGAGTTCAGGAACAAGCCAAGATTTAGACAGATCTGGATGGAAGGGATTTTGTGTGTGTGTGTGTGTGTGTGTGTGTGTGTGTGTGTGTTTCATTTGTGAAGGTAAAATAAGGAAACTCGATCCTCTTAAGGAAGATATCCTCAGACAGCATTGAGTGTTTTTCTAGATACTGTCCAAAATTCAACAAAAGTTTGCAGACATTAGCAGATTAAATCCAATTTTATATAAAAATGCAAAAGTTATAAAAAAATTACCATAGATCAGTTGGGCATGGTAGCATACATCTTTATTTTAGGACACAACAGGCAAGGAGAGGTAGGATCTCTCTGAGTTCAAGGCCAGCCTGGAGCTCTAGGCCAGCAGGTGCACACAGTGAGACACTGTCTCAAAAACAAAAGGAAACAAAGGAATAATCATGAAAATTTTAAAGAAGAACAAAGTTTAGAAGATATACCATAAAATATATAATCATATAAAAATCACATAAAATATTACAAAACCACT